TGTGTGTGTGTGTGTGTGTGTGTGTGTGTGTGTGTGTGTGTGTGTGTCATGTAACATAGTTGTCTACAGCAAACTGCCAGCCACACTGAAGAGCACAGGAAGCTCATGTTGCAGGTTTACCACAGCTATAGCACCACTTTAATCACTCCATACATGAAACTGTTGGCGGGGTGGATCAACAGAAGCAGTTTGGTGAAAAGAGGATAAGAAACATTAATCTAATCTTCAGCATTCGCCTGCAAAGTCCAAGTGACCTTACACTTCATTTAAAATCAGGTAGCTGAAGGCAAAACGGAGGATACATCTATATCTTGTGTATGAAGGCATAAGGCAGATAAGATCTTATGTCTCCGCGTTCACGTCATTGTAAATGCCGGAAATCTTCTTCATTTCCTGCTACAACTTCTAACTGTGTGATTAATTAAAAAAAAAGAAAATCAAAAGCTGGGTGAGGATCAGAGCAACCAGCTGCGTCCATCTTGAACAACTTCACTGCTTCTTGGTGACCTCATGAGAGTGGATAAACCTGTCGGTGCGTGAGGAGCCTGCAGGATCAGCTGCCCGGGGATCAGGGATCATCACCATCTCTTTACAGACTGACGCACCCAATCCCACCAGGCCAGGTTCACAGTGAGGGTAGGTGCCCCCAGCGCAGGCAGAGGCACAAGCAGAACTGTGTGTGATTTCTGAACATTAAAGCGAGACCCCACATCAAGGTATCAAATATGAAAAATACTGAGGGCTTGAAAAGTAGTCAAAAGCATTCTTAGCCACCCCGGATGACAGGGGGCAGTTTGGAGTCATAAAGCTACAATGGACCAAAATGTGAATAATATCATCTTTGTTTCAGCACATGTGAAGCTACCCAAGGCTGCTTTACAGAGCTAGGAGATGAGAAAAAACAAACCAAGCAGAGAAAAATAATACTGATAAAGAAAAATAACAGTGGAGATGATAAAATCAAAGTATTGAAACCTCTCAAACTATGCTTATTGAATAATTCTCATGTTAATGGAAACAGTGCAATATTTTAAAGTCCACAGGAGATGAGTGACTGAAAGGATTACAAATATTTTTATGGATGAGTAATTTGTCATTTTAGAGCTATAACCAACAGTAACTTATAAAATAATAAAAGATAACATATAGGGTAAAGAAGAGAATTCCAAAAGGTTTGGCTAATACTGGCTAATTAAGGAGGACTCTGAGTAAATTGTTGAGTTCTACGTTCTTTAGAGGAGAAGGGGAGTCTGAGGCACAGCTTTGGTCTGAAACATGTCCAAAACAAATCAATCGAGTCAGACTCTAAAAGGTCATTAGACTTGTTTTCGGCTGCTGTCCCAACTTAATCATTTCTTCTTTTGGTTGTGTGCATCCTTGTTTGTTGAATTATTTTTAATTGATGCTTCCTTGTAACTGATGTTATCTGTAAGTCCTGTAAGTGCTTATTGCCATTGATTGTTTGTATAATGCACTGGTTATTTTTTTACATACATATAGTTATATAGTTTCAGTTAAAAGGAATAAATAATCTTCTATTTTATTTTAATCGTCAAATTGTTAGTCATTGTTCTACAACACTAAAGAAAAAGGTGATAAAGATTCCGAGAATGAAAAGTAACATCTGTCAAAGACTTGTCTGGTCCAAGAAGGAGCATGAAGAACCTAATCATCACACTGAAAAGGCTGCGGCCAACACACATTTGGTATTATTTGCTTTAAGTAGAAAGCAATGACACTACATAGTTTATAGGTTTACACATCAATAATAATAATGACACGTGCCTATGCCTGGCATTATTCCTCGCTTATGCAACACGTCAGGTACACCTTGACTTTTGGAATTTCCTCCATCTGACTACTTTTGAAAGGTGACAGGGAAATGACAGATGTGTAATCGCAGGGTGCATCACTCAGCACTGTGCACAAAGAGCACTGAATGTTTCCAGTCAACACAGAGAGGAAGAGTCACCCAAGCAAAAATATCCTGCACAAAAAGAAGAGACCGGCATTTCCCCATTGCAACTCTCATTGCACAATCTGCAGACCAATGAGGAATCAACCTGTGTCTTTACACTGCCTGTTGCCGTTGAGTAGAGAGCACTCAGTGGGTTTCTGTGGGTTAGACCTCATAAATGAGTTGGAGGGAGTGAAGTGTGACTGCGCCCCTCCCAGTGCATGTTCTTCATTTGATGCAGACTGTAAACTGACTCATTCACTGGCTGCAGACGAGACTCACAGAGAAACTGGCTTGTTTCTGCTGCTCATCAGAGGAAAATGGATCCAGACACACATTTCCGTGTTGTACACGTGAAGTTATTGCGCAGCGTGGACGCACACGCTGGCCCAAGTTGGATGTGGCATTTTGGGGTGTCAACACAATGACCACATGGTCTGTGAGGCTTCCACACACACACACACACAACTTAACCAATAAAAGCACCAGACACGTAAGAGACTGGATCCCCAGCACCTGGCCTGCGCGCCCTGCGTCTCTCTAATCGATACTGACAAGTTCGTGGAAAAAAGATTACCGAGCTGAGGAGCCAGCAGCGGCTCGTCCAGCCAAGAGCGTAACTCACATGAATGAAACATATTCTAACGTGATAAGGAGCTAAATAAATAGGCTGTAGATGTTTGAGATAAAGTGCGAGTGAAGCACTAAACAAAGATTCGCCACAGATTTACGCACACAATCTCCTCTAAATGGCAACTTTGTGATCGTGTCCGACTCCAAATTAATTGGTGAATGAAAGTCACCTGGAGCCGTCACACTTCCACCTGGACAGGAAGCGGCAGGTTCGGACTATAACCCGCAAGGAAAAGTTTCCTCGTGGACCTGCCTGTTGCGTTAAACATGGTGAGTTGGAGAGGTCGTGAACTTACTTGTTCTTCTCGGAGCTCATTGTGACGCACCGACGATCAGCTGGACCCCAGCGGTCCTCCTGCTCACTTCGGGTCAACTCTTGTAGTCGTGCGTCTGGAGATCTTCACCTACTCGAGCTGTGGCGCTAAGCAACTGAGTCAAAGTTAACAAAGAGGAGTCGTGGCAGTTTTCTTATCTTCCTCTCGTCGGACCGACTTCTGGGACTCTACGGATCGAGTGAAAGGCGTGAGGCGCACTCCTCATGTCGGGCTGGACTCGCTCAGGTTGTGCTACGGTCACATCTCGGGGAGGAAACGCCAGGTTTCGTGTCTCGGTGGAAGCGTGCGCGGAGACTCTGAGAGCGCGGCGTGTCCCTCTCCATATTTAAAGTGCCATCCCTCCTCCTGCGTGACGACACCGGGAGGAGGAGGAGGGTGTCTGAGGGTGAATGTCAACAACTTTATAGTTGAGAATTATCTTTATGAACTCTTGAATGGTACATCCCACATCCACACATCCAGACAGGCTGACAATATCCACAATTTCACAGGATGTGAAATAATATCTGTGCAGTGTCTAAATTCTAAACCTGCCTGTTTGGAATGGGCTGTTCTCTCGTCTTGTGTTAAAGCTCTGGAGCTACTTCAGATTTGTTCCTCCTCGTTCCTGAGTCCTCCTCAAAAACACTTGTACAATATACTGTCACTTTTTATTGTTTGTGTGCAGAGTGAAGTTAGAGAACTTTGTGTGCATCCTACCTGGTTTATCTGCAGCGAAGAGGACATTTTTATCGTTTGTGTGCTGGACAGTGTGCAGAGGTTTTTATAAACAGTCTATGGCGCAATGTGTAGTTAGAAAACTGTGCTCCACCATCCCACCTGGTTTATTTGCAGTTGATTCCGCTACACAGCACTGGTTGCATTTACTTCATTCAATCTTTTATATTAATATTGAACTTTTCATGTGTCCACTTAACACGAAACTCGGCACTGCACTTTCTCGGGTAATTTACAAAACACATGCCAAGTGTGAGGTCAATGAGATAAACGGTTCGTGAGGTATGAGTTCCACATACAGACAGACGTGTGTGGAATAAGTGGGTAGATGAAGCCTCCAACTTATAATAAACTTTTCAGTTAGGTATAAGAAAGTGCCCCCCTCTCTTTTTCTTTTCTCTTCTTTCATATGTATGTTAATACTTTTAACAAATTGTGCATGTGTGTACTTTTTTTAGTTTTTTCTCATCAATATTCATTTAGCTACATTACTGTTTAACTGTACTGTGACTTAAGATGGTTATTTTTGTGATGAGCACATATCTGTCCTGTTTGATTATATACACATTTGTAAATAATGTTTCAGAGAGTGAGGGTGCAAATCATCAATTAGTCCAATCTGTTTTTGTATCTGAAAAAGGCCAATTAAACAAAACATTAATGCTTAAAAGCTAGTTTCAACAGCAAGTTGTGTTTGTGCATCATATTTACCTGACACTTGGGTTTGTGTATGGAGAGTGCACGCAGAGCTTGAACATGCACTGTGGTTATTTGTCAAACACACACCGGGCACCAAAGAGCCTCGAAGAGCCTGTTGTGCTGTCTCATCTCAGTAATTATAAGGCATTAAAAGTGAAAATTAAAGCACCTATTTCAGGGAGCTTTCTGCGAATCCCATTTGAACTACCTGGTAAAGCTCAGCAGACAAGAATAGCTGACTGTGAGGAGCTGGTGTGGGGACTAGCGCCACCTGCCGGAGAGAACTCTCCCTTTCACAGGGGCTACACGTCACCAGAACAAACCAAAACATTCAGAATGAGTTATAAGTCAGGTTTATTGTCAAGACACCAAAGAACAACAGAAACGCACATACATTCTCATTTACACTCCCTAAAATTGATAAATACACAACATATACAAAAAATAAAAGCCATTAATGATTTTTTAAAAATGGCCAAGATCATTTTTAATGATTCTATAGAAACAAAAGAATAGAGTTGATGCTTTTCATTGCTTTAAAAATAATTGCAGTTTCTTCCTACAGCCACAATCTGTGATTTCCATCTTTACAACGTGCTCAGGAACTCTTTCACCTGAAAAAGAAGGACAACAGGAAAACTGTTTAACAAACATCAGCGAGTTTTCCTTTGGGAAGTTTCGCAGTTCATCCTGGGTGACACTCAGAACAAGTCTGTTTATATCACTTGTGAAGAGCATTGTGTGTATGTGCCTGGTTCCTTTTGTTGCTAATGACATTTGAATGAGAGTGAAATCTTAAAAAGCACCTGTGTTTACCATTAACATGAAACTGCTACATAAGCAGCTCTTCAGGCCTCATTACCACGAGTGAAACCTGGTGCATGCGGGCGTGTCTGTGTTTGTCTGTGTCTTGGAATCGGAACGATCCCTCAGAAGTGCATCTCCACAGGAATACATGATAAATACTTTAATGTGAACTTATCCCTAAAACAGAACATAACAGAATATACACGTTTCCAGAGGATCCACACTATAATAATATTTGGCTACAAGCTTAAGTCTACATTTAAGTAGAATGTGAAAAAGTATGAAAAGTTAACATACTCATTATTGAGGTAGAAGACACTGCAAAAATCTTAACAAGAACTTTGTATTTCATAAAGTCATAAAGGAACAGGCCACTGTTTGTAGTTTTTGAAAAATGTGTATTTCAAAACAGGCAAAAATATCATTTAATAACAAATATTACTTAAAAATATGCAAATGCTGTTGATGTCTCAGCAGTTTAAAATTTTTTTTAACCACTTTACAGATGGCTGGTTTTATGTAAAGCAATACATGTATTATTTGTTATATTCAAAATAGCATCTAATGCGATGTAATCAATAAAAAGTCAAATATTCATAGTTGGAAGTTTAATCTAACAAAAGGTTCATTTTGTAAAGATCCCTAAAGTCCAGTAAAAAGACCTGTTCTCCCTCTGGAGGAAACGGGTGGTATTGCCGAGAGCAATACTGAAGCATTACATGACATTTCAACGTCACTCACCTTCTCCATCATGTCAGCGCTCTTGTTTTTATTTCCCTTAAAGTCTTCATTCACATCTATGGTTAAGACCGGAACTTCGCTGAGATAGTCAAACTCCATACTGTGGAGGCGAGAGAGGAAGACGGACATCGTGTTCATTCATATCCAGGGAACAGCATCCACACTTTCTATTGAACATCTTTCAAACATTTGTGCACGCTGAACCAAATAAACTTCTTATTTATGGCCTCATCTTTTTCTTAAACAAATTCATGTAGCAGCCGCAGATCACATGGACCAAAACAGTTTCAGATAACCAATGTGGCGTAACGGAATATTCTTCACACCTTCCATAACACAAACACATCTGTTGTTTTCAGATGTGCATTCACTTTCTGGTGCTCTTTAAAGTCCATGTGTTTGCTCACCTCATGGTCTTGTGCTGCAGCCAGCTCTCGTGCTTGAAGTGGAGCTTCTCCAGATACTCCAGAGGGATTTCTTGCTCCTCTTCTCGGCCTCTCAGGTGCAGTCGCTCCAAACATTTCTACACACACAGAAAAGGAAATTGAGTGCATCTTACATTAGTTCCCTAAATCCTCTCTCCTGGCCTCGTGAGCTCAGGAGAGAAAAACAGCCATTGTCCACAACAGCCTTATAACTGGAGGTGCTCAAATAACAAAGCTGCTGGCAGAGGGGAGTACCTCAGCTGAAGCTCTCAGGTAGATGATACCATCCAGCTCGATGTGCTTGCCAAACTGGTTGTGCAGCCAGCCGTGCCAGTCCTGGTACACAGACCACTCCGTCTCATTCAGACACTCGCTCTCATAGAGGTTGGCAGCAAATATGTACCTGAGATCACAGACATCAGCAAGACAGGAAAAGGAAAGAATGCAGATTTTTTTTAAAACACAGCAGAGACTGAGCAGTTTTAAGGACACAAAGTGGAAATTGTTAACACTTTGCATGACTGATGATCATCAACAAATGTAATAAACACAAATAGCGAGTGCATTGAGTGTCTCAGGTGACAAACAGTAGATTCAGAAAGTACATATTTTAATTTCAGTCGAATTACAGGGTTACAATTCAATCTCTGAGTCAATGAATGTATCAACAACAGTGCTGCAACTACAAATTCAAATATTACCAGTTTAATTATGAATTGATTAATTAATAAATTAACATATATAAATATTCACATATACATTATGACTATATAAATAGGCAGGTGGGGAGAAGAGAAACAGATAGACGTATGTAATGTTTCCTTTAACATTATTAGCTTCTGATATTCCTCATTTCCATCAGTGGTACCTGTCACTGTAGATGGAGCGTTCGAAGAATTGCACAGGATTCTCAGCTTCCCGCAGCTTCCCATTGGCCGACTTTATCTGGGCACGCACCCTGCTGATGCAGGCGTAGCTCTGGAACGTGTAGGCCCACCTCTCTGGTTTCTGATACATCAACTGCAGTACGTTCCCGCCGCTCTTCTGCGATGTGCTCAGCTCCTAGTATATCAAATTAAAAAAAACACGAGCTGAATTCCATTTCTCCAAGTGGACTGAGGAGGGTGAAGAAATGAATCACAGCTTAAATCACCATTAAAACGCAGGCTAAACAATGCATTTCAACTTTCATGTTCCAAGTCATAAGTTCACTATATTACAAATGCATCTGTGAAATTTGACATTTTAGTTATTTACAGTGGCTGCTTGATATCTACAGACTAAGCTGTATGAACAACAAACACAATCTCAGCTGACATTTTAAATAAGTACTCGCCATTATTTCTCCCTGACATTACCATGTTCACAGAGTTCAACAGAGTTCATCTGAGCAATATATTTATACCACAGATAATGTAATACATCCTGGTCATAAAAGTCAGAATGACAGCAAGCCAGATGGGACGCCAATATTAAGTATACAAGTGTTTCTGTCAGTACTTCACAGCTAAGTCGCAGCAAAAATGGACTACTGGATGAACCAAAAAAAGAATCTATAATAATTCATGTACGTTTTGAAAGTCATTGATAAACTTGACTTTTTGCGAGTTGATGAAAATTATGGGAAAGAAAACTCCTAAATGTACAATCTCCAGTCTCATTTGTAGTTTACAGAACACACACACACAGAGAGAGAGCAAAAAATAAAAGCTCAATTCTAAGGCCTTTACTTAAGGAAATTCAAGGCAGTTTTAAATTCTCTAACATTATTTTATTTTGTGTGTTACAGGGGATTTTAAAAAAGCATTATAGTATACAGATATATAAAACTAAATATTAATATGAGATATTTTCCTGCTGAGGGAGTTGAAAACTTAGTTTTAAACCTGGTTATAGATTTACTTACGTCCATAAAACAGTAATCTCTAACAGACTGCAACATAATGCTGTATATATCTTTTAATTACTTTTCAAACATGTAACAAATTCAAGTGTTATCAAGCATCAAGGATTATTTTACAGTAGATAACACGACATGATTCAACATATCAGCTCAAATATATAAAGCAAGAACCCGGATGACCTGCTGGTTGTTACAACTAGTGATACTGAAAATATGGGTGTGTTGAACCAGTGGCAATAAGTCAGTGAGGGTGAGGCTGCAGCTGTGTGGGAGTTAGAGATGTTTGCCATGATGATGGCATGTACATCTGTCCACAGTGGGACCATTTGTTCCCCTGTGTGTGTGTGTGTGTGTGTGTGTGTGTGTGTGTGTGTGTGTGTGTGTGTGTGATAACGGTGCAGACATACAGTACAGATGGCAGCTGCACTCTAAATACAGATGAACACTCTCCCTGTTATCTTCACCTGTGCAGTGTGAGTGTGTGCCGAGGAGGATCATCAACGATTGTATATCATCAGTTAAGCAGTGTTTAAAACTTAACAAGCTTATAACTACTCTACAACTTTATCTGTGGAGTGTGAATGGGTGTTCATTCAGCAGTACTTAAAGGTGCAGTGTGTAGAATTTTGTGACACAGAGTTTTGAAGTTGCATGTTGCAGCTGAACACCCCTCACCTCACCCTCTCCTTCCAAACATGACAAAGAAACTGTGGTAGCTTCAGTCTTCAGAAAAACTCAAAAGGTGTTTAGTTTGTCCAGTCTGGACTAATGTAAAAAACATGGCGGTCTCCGCAGAGAGGACACCCTCGATGTAAATATAAAGTATTTAAATATAAAGGGAATTTTCTGGGGTAAAGAAAACTACAATTCATACAATGTAGATGAAATGAACTAGTGAAAACATCATGAGGATTACATTTCTGCCAATAGTTCCCTTTCACCTAAATCTTACACACTGGACCTTTATGATGTGGATCATCATTTATTTATTTAATGATTTTGAAAACTGGAGGAGCATTGTGATGTAACATGAATTGTATGTGATATCTACTAATTACACAAACGTCTGTCTTTCTGTGAAACCGTTCATGTTATCCGTTTGCATCCGTATTGTAAACTGCCCGTTGGATTGCAGTGCCAAGTTTGGAGCAATTTGGACACAGGACATGTTCAATAAACAATCTGAATAAACAACCAACCGACTTCACTTTATGAAAAACATTGACAGATGAGGATCAAATTGTCCAACTTCATGTAAAAGACTGTTTACATGAAGCTCTGCACACAAACAATGACGAAGTGAGAGCATATAGAAGTGTTTGAGGAGGACTCACTAATGACGAGGAATAGAAACTGCACTGGTTGTGATGATGACAACGACGATGCTGTAAATACCTCGAAGTCACTGCTGTCTGTTTGGACGTTGCACCACCTGGCGATGGGCTCTGGTACTACCTCCCAGTCCGCGCTCTCCTGCTCCAAAAGGCGCACAAAGGTGGATTTACCCGCCGCTGAAACACACACGAAGCGCAGCGTTCAGCCACATTACACAGAACACAGCTCGATACACCCAAGACGCACAGTTGGATACACACAGGACGCACAGTTCGATACACACAGGACGCACAGTCAGA